GTGGTGCACACTCGTCCCGTCGGCTCCCCCGCGACAGACTTCCCGCGGCGAGATATACCGATCAGGGTTGGGCGGCTTCTTTCAAAGGAGAGCGTTGTTCAGTCCTCTTGCTTGGGCGCCCGAGTTATCCGGGGTAACTCGGGTCCGGGGTAACTCGGGTTTGGATTCCCGGAAAACGAACCCGAGTTATCCCTGACCCGAGTTACCCCTGATGATTCGGGGCTCTGACTTGCTGTTCCAGGCTCTTGCTCGCTGGAGAGAGCGCTGCTTTGAGACGCGACGCTGTTCGGAGACCGGTCCACCTCCCTCCTCTTGGTGGTGGCACGAGGGCAGGCGGCGGGGGCAGTCCGACCGCTCGGGCTGACAGGTGGGCTGGCCAGGGCAGCTGGTTCCAATGGCGCTCTGGGACCCAAGCGCTCGCAGTGCGATCATTCAAACACTGCCACCCGATCCACTCTCGGCGCTGCCCTCGCCACGCAAAGATAAAATGAAAGTTTGTGTTCGCCATGCCCTGGAATAGACCCTCGGGCTTTCCTGTCGTGCCCTCAACGTCATGCCACTCTCTGGCACTGTTCTTCAACATTGTGTGCTGCACCCGGAGGTGCAAAATCGGCCCCTGGTGCCCTGTGTCCCGCGACGCACCGCCCAGCCTACGTTCTCCGCCCTGTGCACTCATCCAGCCCTGCAATACCTGGATATTCTGCGTTTCATTCGCAGTGCCGAGCTGGATATCCTCTGTACAAAACTGCACTTTGCGAGCGTTCCTATGATTTCAGCCCGATCGCTCTCTCTCCCTCTCTCTCTCTTTCTCTCTTTCTCCCTACCCCCCCCTGAGAAATGCACTCCAAGGCGACGCCGCCCCTGGGAGCTGTGCCTCATATCGTCCGCTCCCCTGCGTCTTGAACCCAAATCACATTCGCTTGCCACAATTCGTGCTGTGACCATCGTTCACATTACTCTTAGCGGTGCTCACTTGAACGCGAACTGGGGCCGTCACAGGTAGAACACCTGATGACGTTGGCAAGGAGCTCGTGTGTTCAATATGTGGACAGACTTCAGCGAAGAAGGCGATTGTACGGTTTTTGTGCAAATATCTGTGCAAAGCGACAAAATGATGGAGTACTACGGAGAGAACGACTGGCATGTTACTCTTATCTTGAGGTGATGCTGATCTACGTTAGCTTATGCTTGTTCACTGCGGTCGTGAGCCAAAGTGACATATTCCAGGACAGACACGCAGAACACCACCCACGGGACAGCGACAGAGGAAGTGTCAGTCGGAATCCGCGAAGCGTCTGAAAGACCGGCGCATCCACCCACATCGCGTGGAAGGCTCACAGGAAGCCCAGGTCGCTCCTTAGTTGCGAAGCGCAGCGCGCGTCAGGGCAATGATGGTGGGCCTTTGGAGGTACGACACAGTGGGCCCCGACCGGCGCCCTCCAGATCGCCCGATGCGCCTGCTTCGTCTGCGAATGGAAAGGCGCAAGTCCTTACACTGTAGACAACCACATGCCAACTCTTAAGTCGGGCGTGTCCCCCTACAGGGGGATTTTCGACGAAAAATACAAACATACCCCCAAAGTAGCCAAACAATAATCCAAACATAGTCTGGGGACTATTTTGGGTTTTTTTTGACCTTTGGGGAGCATTTTTGGAGTATTTTTTCTATTGTTCATAGAAAATCCCCCTGTAGTGGGACACGCCCGACATAAGCCCGATATGTTTTTGCTTTTTTGAATTGTTCGTCGAAAATCTTTATGTAGGGGGACACGCCCGACTTAACCTTACACTGTAGATAACCACATGCCAACTCCCAACATGCAGTGACGCCCTGGAACGCCGCCGGAACCAGGGACGGTCACTGTGGTGGCCGAGCGTCAGCCGTCCTGCAGACGGACCCCGCCGGCACGACGGGGCACTCCTGCGAAAGCACCTCGGGGATGGACAGACCCCCCTTTAGTAAAACGTGGTTTAGTGAAAACGACCTGAGGCCCAAACCTGGCGGGCGCAAGCCTGGAAAATAACGGCCACGGCGCCCTCTCGAGAACCGAACACGGACAATTCACTAATCGACGTGTCACTGTTGGGGTTTCTGTCCGCCTCCGAACACCGCCGATCGCTGCGCTCTGGCAATTTCGTCCGGGGGGGGAGGAAGAAAACAAAGGCAGGGTCATCAGCTCGTCGGTGTCGTGGTCGTCGTGGTCGTCGTCGTCATGCCGTGTCGGCGGCACCTGCCGCAGGACTCTCACGATGAACAGACAAGGAGACGCCTTCCTGCTGTCACGAGAAACGAGTCCCGGACCTGGGGCGTGCCCCTCGGGCAAGTGAGCGTTCTCTTACTCGGCGTTTCGACATCGGGCGGAAGGGGGGGGGAGGAGGGGGGGGTCTGGCTCCCGACCTCTGCTTCATGCGACTGTTTGCAGCAGCGCGTCCTATATGGGGAGGCTTCACCTGCTCGAAACAGGCGCCCAAAGCAGCCGCACAGATCTACTCCATGGGGGGAGGGGAGGGAGGGCGAGGGCGCGCGCCGATCGGCAAAACAACGAGCAAGAAAACGATCACCAATTCTTCCGTGCTGCGCAGTTGCTTTGCACGGCCCCTCGGGCCCAGGAGTGACCCCCGGGGCCCGAACGAAAAAAACACGCGGAGCAGCTCGGGGCACCCTTCCCCGAGTACACCCCCCTTTGCTCGGGTGTGCCGAGGAGGAGGGGGGGGCCAGGAAGAACGTGCGTACAGCCAACTCATGTAGGAGGGCTCAAGGCGCAAGCTAGACCGAATTGTTCGTTTCGCGTTTCAATTTCGTTGTCCTTCGTCCTGTCTTCGTTATGCCTTTGCTGCGAAACGGAATCGAAACGAAAACTGTCCACAAAATCGCCAAGACACCTTGTAGCTCGAGCCCTGCCATGTGGCAAGGATGCGCGGCAAGGATGCAAGGGTCTTGCAGAGCCATGCTGCGGTTTTGCTAGTGGGGATGGGCCGAAAGGGCAAGGATGTCCATCCAATAGGGGGGGGCCTCCTGCGCCCGCACTAAAGGTCACCCCGTCCAAGCCACCCGACTTCGCGCCCTCGCGCATGAGGAGGAGGAGGAGGAGGAGGAGGAGGAGGAGGAGGAGGAGGAGGAGGAGGAGGAGGGAGGAGGGAGGAGGAGGAAGAGGAGGAGGGCGGAGGAGGGAGGAGGAGGGAGGAGGAGGAGGAAGAGGAGGAGGGAGGAGGAGGGAGGAGGGAGGAGGAGGAGGGGTAATCTTGGAAAGCTGCCCACCCTTACTGTGCGGGTTGACCGTGGCGCGGCGTGGCCCGAGGCATGCCCGAGCAGAGAAGGAAAGGGCCATGCAAGGGCTCCTAAGTTCGCGCTTCGCGCTGCGCGAAGCGCGAAGCGCGAATAACTTCGCGCCCTCGCGCCGCCCCCCCAAAGGGAGAATAGGAGGACGAGGAGGAGGGGGGAGAAGGAACGAGGACCGCGAAGCGCGAAGCGCGAATAACTTCGCGCCCTCGAGGGAGCCCTTAGCTCTGGCTTGCTGTCGTGGCGACTGTAGAGGCCTCCCGAAGGGTCGGAGGATCGCGCCGCCTCGCCGATGCATCCAGCATGCGTCGGCGATGTCGGTGCTGCATCGGCGCCGTCGGCGTGTAGAACATCGGGTTCTGCATCGAGCCGCATCGCCGATGCATCGGCGATTCGGCGCGATCCTTCGGCCCCACCTTGCTCGATTCTCGTTTGATAGGCCCGGAGACTTCCTCCGGGGATCCCACACGGTGCGGTAACCACAATGTGTGTGTGTGTGTGTGTGTTGCGTCAGTCGGGATTCCGGTGTGACCGCACGGCTTGGGGACTCGGGCCGTTCCCCGAAGGTGTCCCGGGCGACTAGGGCCTCCGGGGCCCCAAAACCGTGCGGTGACGGACCGCGCGGTGAGGTCCTTGTCGATGCCGCGCGAAGTGAACCCCACCCTCCCCCTCAGAAATCGTGGGGGGTAGGGGTAGGGTTCGCATGCGGCCCCCTAAACATGTACACTGCCTAGCAGTACATGCAGTGCAGAGCCGACGGCGGCCGGCCCTCTGTCTCGAATACGGCCAACGCCCGCGGCGACACCGACAGGGAGCCCTATCCAAAATGCACAAAGCAACGCTGCTGGTCCTCGTCCCATTCTTGGCGGCGCGCGCAAGGTGGTAGGGGAGGAAGAGGAGGAGGAGGAGGAGGAGGAGGAGGAGGAGGAGGAGGAGGAGGAGGAGGAGGAGGAGGAGGGAGGAGGAGGAGGAGGAGGCGGAGGAGGGAGGAGGGAGGAGGGTTCTTAGAACGAGGCTGCTTCTTAGAAGGAGGCTGCTTCTTAGAAGGCGCTGGCCCTACATCTGCAGTAGCTAAGGCCAGCGCCTTCTAAAAAGCGAGGGCGCCTCTGAGAAGCCTTCCCCCCTCCCCGCACCTCGGTCTGTGCACGGCCGAATTGGCCTTCGTACCCATTCGTTCCGCAACCACTTCGACCGCACCTTCGGTGGCAACTCATGGGAGCCCCCCATTGCGAATCGATGCTAATCGCCGCTAGTCGACGCTAATCGAGGCTATAGATCGACGCCAGCCGACGCTAGCCGACTCAAAGTCGGCGCTGTCTCATCGACTCCCAGACGCTCATCGACGCGAGAGACGGTAGGGGGAGGGGGGAAGGCTTCTTAGAAGGAGGTTGCTTCTGAGAAGGCGCCAACCTTACATCCACAGAACGGGATCGCGCCTTCTGAGAAGCAGGGGTGCCTCTGAGGAGCCTTCCTCCCTCCCCCTACTCCACTCTGCGCGTGTCCGACGTGATCCGCTCCGCTCCGCGATCGGGATGGGCCCCTCTCCGCCGAGGCCCGCGCCGGCACTGCTGCCCCACCGCGCCCTCCGAGCGGTCTCCGGGCGGCGGCCCGCCGCCGTGCGGCGCGGAGGGCGCGGGCGCTTCCGCGAGGGCGCCGCCAGGCGCCACCGGCGCCCCGCGCGGGTCGGGCGCGGCGTCGTCGGCCCAGCGCTCGGAGGCCCTTAGCCTCGCCAGCAGCCGGTGGATGGGGTACCTCCTGTGGAGCAGAGGCCTTGCGCCCCAGCATGCCGCATTCCTACAAGGCCCACCACGGCATTTCTGGGGCCAGCCACGGATGTTTTCGGGCCTGCCGCGACAGTGTCCCGCCCAGGGATGAGATACCTGTTGTTGAGCAGGTCCACCACGACATGATCTGCAAACGAAAGAGTGTCCTGCGAATGAAGCCAGGCTCTTAGAAGCAAGACTGCGCCCGCCAGAAGTGTTCGACGAACACGTCGTGCAAACAGCGAAGGGTTCGCAGAACATCTTTGGGTGGGCCTAGATGGGCAAGTCGGGGCGCTTCCCCCCTGCTTGATCCTGCGGGTGTCGACGGCCTGCCCAGCCGCAGGCTCTGGCGGCCGCGCCTGCGGGGTCGCGGGGCGCGCCTCGTAGCCCGCCGCGGCCTCGCCGTCCGGGACCTGCGGAGGAGACCGAGGAGGAGGCGGAGGGGGCGGACGCGGAGGAAGAGGAGGCGGAGGCGGCGGAGGAGGCGGAGGAGGCGGAATCGGATGAACAGGGAGCGGAGGAGAGGGCGGAAAAGAAGGGGGCCGGCGGGGCCGCCAACCTGCGCGCCCGCAGTCTGGGGCGGCCGCGCCTGCGGGGTCGCTGGGCGCGACTCGCAGCCCGCCGCGACCTCGCCGTCCGGCACCTGCGGAGAAGCGCGGAGGGCCGAGGAGGAGGATGAGGAGGAGGAGGCGGAGGAGGAGGAGGCGGAGGAGGAAGCGGAGGAGGATGATGAGGCGGCGGAGGAGGCCGAGGAGGAGAGGAGGCGGAGGAGGAAGAGGAGGGGGAGGAGGAGGAGGAGGAGGAGGCGGCGGAGGAAGAGGCGGAGGAGGAGGAGGAGGCGGAGGAGTAAGGGTGGGGCCGCCAACCTGCGCGCCCGCAGGCTCTGGCGGCCGCGCCTGCGAAATCGCGGGGCGCGCCTCGCAACCCGCCGCCGCCTCGCCGACCGGGGCCTGCGGAGGAGCGTGGAGGGCGGAGTAGGAGGAGGATGAGGAGGAGATGGAGGAGGCGGAGGAGGAAGATGCGGAGAAGGAGGAGAGGACGGATGATGGTGAGAAGGAGGCGGAGAAAGGGGAAGGCGGAGGAGGAGAAGGAGGACAAGGATGAGGATGAGGAGGAGGCGGAGGAGGAGGAGGCCGAAGAGGAACAGGAGGCGGAGGAGGAAGAGGAGGCGGAGGAGGCGGAGGAGGAGGCGGAGGGGGAGGCGGAGGCGAAGAAGAGGGAGGAGGAGGAGGAAAGGGAGGAGGAGGATGACGCGAAAGGGGAGGAGGAAGAATAGGAGGAGGAGGACGACGAGGAGGAAACGGAGGAGGCGGAGGAGGCGACGTAAAAAAAATGAGTAGGCGGAGAAGGCGGAAGGGGAGGGGGCGGGAGGAGGAGTCGGAAGAGGAGGAGAAGAATGATGAGGCGGAGGAGGCGGAGGAGGAAGCGGAGGAGCAGGAGGCGGAGGAGGAGGAGGCGGAGGAGCAGGATGAATCGGAGGGGGAGGAGGAGTAGGAGGAGGAGGAGGAGGAGGAGGAGGAGGAGAAAAATGAGGAGGAGGAGGAGGAGGAGGAGGAGGGGGAGGGGGATGGGAAGGAGGCGGAGGAGGCGGAAGAGGAGGAGGAGGAGGAGGCGAGGGAGATGGAGGAGGAAAATGCGAAGGAGGGATGCTGAGAAGGAGGAGGACGGACGATGAGGATGATAATGAAGATAAGGATGATGATGAGGATGAGGATGATGATGATGATGATGGTGGTGGTGTGATGATGATGATGGTGATGATGATGATGATGGTGACGATGAGGTGATGATGGTGATGAAGATGATGGTGCTGATGATGATGATGCTGCTGATGATGGTGATGATGATGATGGTGATGATTGTGATGATGATGGTCGACGTCAGTGTGAACTGGTGCGGCTAAGTGATGCATTGGCGACGGGCAGACGATTCAATTTAATGTGCAGCAAATTGGGTGGCAATGCTAGTAGGTCTCCTCATCAATGAGGCCAGCACCGCCGAGTGCGAAGAAGGGGTGGCCAGGGAAATGAGAGCGAAGAAGCTCAATCCTTTGAACACTGGCCGTGTGACAGTACGGGCATTCCCAGTCTAAGCGCCAGGGGTCTCCAGTCCTACATGTTGGGCAAACGGCCCATCCAGGATGTGGCACTGCAAACAATCTGCTAATGTCGGCCGTCCTGGAAGAGGCTTCGTCCGCGAAATGCACGGACGCAGTAGCATGATGCACATCAAGACTATAAATTATACATGGGCGTCCTTCCAGATCAATCGCAAAGTGTCCAACTGCGTCGATGCATTGATCGCAATAATCAAGAAACTTATTATGTGCAATCTCCACTGCAATAGAGACGGCTCGCGCTCGAGCACAACGAATGCGACACTTATTGAAGACTGGAAATCTACCATACACGCGATCCCAGCAATGGGAGGGAAGCGAGAGCCAAGAGGAGGCGAGTGCAGCAGCAACGAAATCAGCAGCACATGGCGGCTCAGGGCATTCACTCACTGCAGCAACGTCTCCAGCATCATCTTGAGGCTGAGCGTGAGCGCCACCCTGAGGTGGCAGGTGAGGCCGCGCGGCGTGCGCCGCCTGCTTCGCGAAGTGGAAGGGGACACCGGCGATGCGCGAGTGATCGAAATGCAGCTGCATTGACTTGGCCTGAGCCTTCACCCTGTCGGCAAGGTCGGCACGGACCGCGATGAAGACCTGGTCACTGCGAGGTCGTGGCGCGAGGAAGCCTCGCAGGGCTGCCCGCTCGCGCCGCTCGAGGAGCTTGGGAAGAGAATGCTTGCCGACCATCTGATACTATGTGGGTATGTGCACAACTCGCGGTTGTGGCGCAGCCAGGGAACAAAAAAACAAACAAACGAATGCACGCCTCCTGTCGGCCTTGAGCCAAAATGGCTACGGATGGTTGTGATGATGATGATGATGATGATGACGATGACGATGATGATGATGACGATGATGAGCAGGAGACGGATGAGGAGGAGGCGGAGGAGGAGGCGGATGAGGAGGAGGAGGAGGAGGAAAAAGCGGAGGAGGAGTCAGAGGAGGATGCGGAGGATGAGGACTTGGAGGAGGATGAGCAGGAGGAGGCGGAGGAGGAAAAGCAGGGGGAGGAGGAGCAGGCGGAGGAGAGGGAGGAGAAGAATATCAGGCGGAAGAGACGGAGGAGGCGAAGGAGGAGGCGGAGGAACAGGAGGAAGCGGAGGAGGAGGAAGCGGAGGAGGAAAGGGCGGATGCGCAGGATGAGGAGAAAAAAATCGACGAAGACCACGGAGGAAAAAGAAGAGGCGGAAGAGGTGTCGGAAAAAGGAGGAGGAGGAGGAGGCGGAGAGAGAGGAGGCGGAGGAGCAAGAGGAGGCAAGGGAGGAGGCGGAGGAGGAGGAGGAGGAGGAAAAGAAGAGAAGATGGAGGAGGCGGGAAAGGAAAATGCAGAAGAGGAATGCGGAGGAGGAGGACGGACGACGATGATGATGATGACGACGGTGATGGTGACGATGATGATGTTGATGATGATGATGACGCGGAGGAGGAGGAAGAGGCAGAGGAGGAGGCGGAAGAGAAGAAAGCGGAGGAGGAGGCGGAGGAACAGGAGGGGCAGGCGGAGGAGGGGGACGCGGAGGAGGAGGAGCAGGGGGAACGGGGGGAGGAGGGGGGCGAGGAGGGAAGGATGAGGCGGAAGAGGCGAAGGAGGAGGAGGCGGAGGAGGAGGAAGCAGAGGAGAGGAGGCGGAGGAGGAGGAGGGGGATGAGGCGGAGGGCGGGGAGGAAAAAGTGGAGGAAGAGAAAGACGCGGAAGAGGAGGGGGGACATGAGAAGGCGGAAAAGGACTCGGAAGAGGAGGAAAAGGCGGAGGAGGCGGAGGAGCAGGAGGGGGCGGATGAGAGGAGGAGGAGGAGGATGAGGAGAAGGAGGAGGAGGAGGAAGAGGAGGAGAATATGGGGGAGGACGAAAAGGAAGATGCGGAGGAGGAATGATGAGGAGCAGGGGGAGGACGGACGATGAGGAGGAAAATGAAGAGGAGGAGGATGCAGAGGAGAAGAAAGCGGCGGAGGGGAACGCGGAGGAGGAGGACGTGGAAGAAGAGGATGCGGAGCAGGACAAGGAGGAGAAGGAGGAGGCGGAGGAGGCGGAGGAGAAGGAGGATGCGGAGGAGGAGGAGGGCGAAGAGGAGGAGAGGATGAGGCAGAGGAGGCGGAGGAGGCGAAGGAATAGGAGAGGAGGAGGAGGAGGAGGAGGAGGAGGAGGAGGAGGAGGAGGAAGCGGAGGAGGAGGCGGAAGAGGAGGAGGAGGAGGGACAGGAAGCGGGGGAGGAATAGGCGGAGGAAGGAGCGGAGAAGGTGGAAGGGGAGGGGGAGGAGGAGGCGGAGGAGGCCGAGGAGGAGGACGAGGGGTAGGAGGCGGAGGAGGAGGCAAAGGGAGAGGAGGCGGAAGAGGAAACGGAAGGCGGAAGAGGAGTCGGAAGAGGAGGAGGAGGAGGAGGAGGAGAACGCGGAGGGGAAGAGGACGCGGAGGAGGGAACTCTCCGAGTATCCGAACACTCTACGACGAGTCTCAGGGGCTCACTCGGGTGGCGCGGCATGCCACTTCCGCCACAGTTGAGCCCCGTGCCGCCACCGAGGCCGCCGGCGCCAACCTCGAACGGGCAGTTTCTGCGGCGGCGACCGCGCGGCCAGGGCGTTCCGCTGCAGGGGTCGTTTGGCCGTCCGCGCCAAGGTGCCCAACTCCGCAAAAGAACATGCCCCGGCACGCAAACACCAACATGTGCTGTCGCCCCTGCGCCGCCCCGCGCGATCCTGCGCGGCGCGAGGCAGCTCGCGCGCAGAGGACAGCAGGGCCGCAGATAGGAGCAGCAACGCCCTGCGGCATGCCAAATCTACCTGTACGGCGCCCGCTGCTACCCCTGCGGGCAAAGCATCCTGTCGAGCCATGGGGCTGTAGGCTCCCCTACAGGCGCTGCACTCCGACAGGGCCTGGTTCACTACACCTATAAGCTCTTATTCACCACGCTATTTTGGCTGAGCCAAGTCCCCTCCCACCAGGCCCCTGGCCCAGCAGCCCGATTGGGCCGCGGCCAATGCCCTAGAAGTGCCTTCGTTCTCCTCCGCAGAGGTGCCCACAATGTCCAGAAAGACGAGGAGGGGGAAGGCTGACCGAAATAGTCCATCGGGCCATTCCTGGAGACCGTCTTGCACGCCGTCGTCACAGCCTTGACCTCCTCTTTCTCAACCGTCTTCGGGCCGCCGCCCAAGCCGTGCCAGCTGTGCCGCCCAGCGGGGTGGTCTCGACGCTTTTGGTTTTGGCCTGCTCCTCCACCTTCGTGTCGTTCCTGGGCTGCGGGGTCTCGCACGCGCCTATCGGGTCGTCCCCGATGGTCGTCGTGCAGTCCACCATCGCAGCCTTGAGCGTCTGGCTCTTCATGGAGACCGTCGTGTGGTATGCCACCGAAGCTGCGAACTCCTCGTTCGCCTTGGGGCCGCCGTTCTCCTTGACGCTGTCCTTCTCTGCCTTCTGCGGGCCATTGTCCAGGCATGCCAGCTGTCGGGGCCCATCTTGCCTCCTCGCGGGATGGTCGCGACGCCTTTGGCCTTGGCCTGCTCCTCCAATTTCTTGTCCTTCCCTTCCTCCTCGGGCGCCCCCTGAAGGATTGCCTGCTTGCCGCCAGCGGGGAACTCGTCGCCGCGGGCCTCGACGCTCGGGTGGCCTTCACGCTCTTTGCCTTTGCATGCTCCTTCAATGTCATTGCAAGCTCTCGGAAGCCGTCCTGTAACGGGTGGCTCCCAACCGAATGGACGCGGTCCTTCAGGAACGTCGTCATCATGAAACTGCCGATGGCCACGGCCGCCATGGCCACCAACCCCGTAGCATGGTTGCGCGCCTTCTGCCGGGCGCTGGGGGCGTCGGTAAAACGGCGCCGTCTTGGGCCCATGGTCCTGACGCCGCCTAGGAGGCGGAGGAGAAGGAGGCGGAGGAGGAGGAGGAGGAGGAGAAGGAGAGGAGGAGGAGGAGGCGCGCCAACTCGATGAATCCAAGTGCGCCGAGACAGGCACAGTGAAGAGAAGGACAGGTGGAAAAGACGAGGGAGCGCGGCCCGACGAGAAAGACAGACGAAACGCAAGCGAACCACCGACGATAAAAAGCGCCGAGCGAATCGTCGAAGACGAGGCCAGAAGACAGCGTCGTCGGACGCGAGGAGCGGACGGGGATGTCCCTGCCACTCACCAGAAAAAAAAGGGTCTTTGCCCTGCTCGAGGGCCTTAAGATGCGTAGCGTCCTTGCTGGATGCAATACGAGGGCCGTTAGATACGTACGTCGCCGGACGCGAGGAGCGGACGGGGATGTCCCTTCCACTCCCCAGAAAAAAAAGGGGTCCTTGCCCTGCCCGAGGGCCTTCAGATACGTATGCCGTCCTTGCTGGAGGCAATGCCCTGGCACTGCCCCCCAACAGCCGAGAACGCAGGGCCGACGGCTGGGCCCTGGCGCCGCGGCGACGGCAGGACGTGCAAGGGCAGCCCCAGCCAGGACGACGACGTGCCCTCGAGCAGAACTGGGCCCTACGGTAACCAGCCTCGAACGTATCCCTATCCCTAAGGTGGACGAGCAAAAAGCGAGGACAATCTTAGGTATAGGCCCTCAGAAACTGAGGAAATCCTTAAGATCGACATCGAGGTGATGTGATGTCAAACATAGGGATGGGGATATGTTTCAAACTGGTAATACGGGGCCGTGAGGCTCACGGCCACGTCACGCGTTCCGAACACATGCGACCAGCTAAACGCACTTGCCACGCAAACCGCCAGCTTCAAACACCGACGCCACCCCGATCCCCGCATCCGTGCCAGGCATCCTTTCAACGACGCCCCCCTCCCGTGTATGTGTGTTTTCCTGTTCTGATGAGCGGGCAGGGGACAGTCAGCAGGGAGACCCAGCGCCCACGGAGCACCAGGCCTCCCGAGGCCCCAGCCGCGCTTGCCGGGCGGAGGCCCATCGGCGCGGCTGGGGGCAGGGGGCCCACCAGCCCCGCCCAGGAGCACGGGGGGCCAGCCGAGGCGCGCCTTCAGGCGCGGGCCCTCCAGAGGCCTGGGGCTCCCCACGACCATCCGCCTCCCTCGAGCCTGCGGGGGGACGGACGAGTGCGAGGGCGAGGGGCGGGGGGAGGGGGCTGGCGTCAGCTGCACACGCGCCACAGCCTGCTCGCCAGACGACCTCGGCACCTTGGCCTTCCTGCAAGCCTCCCCGACATGCTCATCCCTCCTGCCCTCATCCGTCTTTTTTGTTTCGGTATGGTGATGGATGTCCCGCGCGGACCCCGCGAAATCCTGCTTGGCAACTTCTGGCTTGTTCGTGCCACCAGAACTGCAAAAAACACGAGGGATCAACCACTGAAGAGTTGACTCAGACCTCGCCATCGCTCGGATCTGCCCTCACCCGTCTGCAATCGCACCCCCTTCAAAGGCCGGAGGCCGCTCAAGGACCCCCGGCTCCGAGGTCGGCGGCGCCCTATGGACTCCTCCTCCTCCGAGACACCCGCGGCCTCGGGGGGAGGGACCTCGCGGGGGCCCTCTGGAGGCGTGCGCCTCCAGAGGACCCAGCCCCGCAGGACGGCTCCAACGGCCCCTGCCCACAGGAAAACACCGAACCCCCGGGGCCCGCAACGCTGGGCAGAGTTCCCTCGAGGCCCCAGAGGGCCGCCGCCTCGGCGACGTGACACTCTCGGAGCCTACCTCGGGCGGTCAAGGCGAAAGCCTTACAGCGCTGAGAGGAGGAAGAGGAGGAGGATGAGGAGGAGGAAGCGGATGAGGAGGAGACTGAGTAGGAAGATGCAGAGGAGGAATGCGGAGAAGGAGGAGGACGGACGACGATGACGATGACGATGATGATGATGAGGGAGGAGGAGGGGGAGGAGGAGGAGGAGGAGGAGGAGGAGGAGGAGGAGGAGGAGGAGGAGGAGGAAGGAGGAGGAAGAGGAGACAGAGAGGAGGCGAGAAGGAGAAAACGGAGGAGGAGGAGTTGGAGGAGGAGGAGGAGGAGGAGGAGGAGGAGGAGGAGGTGCAGGGGGGGGAGGCGGAGGACGAGGGAGAGGAGGAGGAGAGAAAGAGGCGGAGGCGGCGGAGGAGGCGGCGGCGGAGGAAGCGGAGGAGGAGGAGGCGGAGGAGGAGGAGGGGGAGGAGGCGGAGGAGGAGGAGGCGGGGGAGGAGGCGGAGGAGGGCGGGGCGGGGCGGGGCCGCCAACCTGCGCGGCGCTTCCTCCTGGCGGCGGGCTGCGCAGGCCGGCGGCCTCGCGGGGCGGCGGCGCGCACGGATCCTGGTCCGAGCAGGGCCCCGCGGGCTCCGGCGGCTGCAGGTCGCCGCGGTCCCCCTCGGGGCAGGCCGGCGCGCCGCTCCGCAGCACGCTGATCGAAGAAGAGCAGGCGACAGAAGCATAAGCTTTTGGCGCTCCGCGCGGATTTCGTGGATCTGCGCTGGACCCCCTCCCGTTCCTCCTAACTCCCCATCCTCCTCCTCCTCCTCATCATCCTCCTCCTCCTGCTCGATCCTCCTCCTCCTCCTCCTCCTTCCTCCTCCTCCTCCTCTACTCTCTGGTTGTCGCGCTTCCACGTTCCTCTTCCTCCTCCTCCTCCAGGCCCCAGGCTGGCGGACCTTCCAGGAGGTGTAGACAAAAGCGCCAGGACCTCGACGTCCGAATTCCCGTCGAGCTTTCAGGCAGTCCAGAGAGGTCTATAGGTCTGGGTGGGCTGTTTTTGAGCACACTGAAAGTCAGGATTGGCGCTGCGCGCGGATTTCTTGGATCTGCGTTGGACTCGACCCCCCTGGAGCGCGTCAGGGGCGGCGCCTGAGGTGCCGCCAGGGGGGCCCAGCGCGGATCGTAGAAATCCGCGCAGAGCGCCAAAAAGTTTATGCTTATGCCGTTGCTTCTTCTTCGAGCTGAGCAGCGGGTCTTGGGTCGATGGCGGGCACTCATCGGCTGCCGGGAGCTGCTCCACCCGCGTCCAGACCGCCTCCCGGAACACGCTCAGGTCCCGATCGGTTGGGTCTGGGGCATCGAACATAAGCTTCACCTTTACGTTGCTCACAGCTCGCAGCCACAACTCCTTCTCATCCATCGTGCGGGCGCAGAAGCGATATGCGTCCACACCGAAAACAGTGCAATAGGAACCAGTCCGTGTGCTGACTGCCGTGGACGCGGTCATGGAGATGCTGACAACCTCCTGCTCGCACCACTCGTCCGTGTACACCTTCAGCAAAGCTTGGCCACGGGAATAAGCGCACAACTCGCAATAACACAAAGACACAGCGTCCCCAGGCTCGCTCCGCAGCAGATAGCCGGCCATGATCCGGTCGGCAGTCGCAGCGATGCCGGGGATCGGCTGGACGGCTATGCCCAGCGGCGGGAAGATCGACACCGTGGCCGCCCGGATGGCCAGGGAGATATCGTGCACCCACCGGTCCCGCTCCTCATGAGCGGTGCTGCCCGTGGTGGCGAAATACCAGAAAGAATCCCCCTCGCTCCTTTGGACCTCCGAAATGGGCACGGAAAAAATGGGCACAATACCCGACAACAAATGTTGTCCAAAACCGACAGAGGCCGCTGTTGGGAAGGCGGCTTCTGTCTTCAAAGAGCAGCGTCCGCGGCGGCGCGGGCAACGAGTCCTGTTCAAAATGAACCGGGACTGCTGCTGGGCATCGTACCCATTCTTTCTGTACCAATTTCGATCGTCCCGAGCTCCGGAACACCGTCAGCTTGAAGACGGCCCAGAAAGAGGAGTTCTCCATGGCCTTCACCTGCCCGTGGCGCGCAGGACTGTGCGGGGGTATATGGGGGGGCGGCCTTCCCAGTTCAGCATCCCGCGCATGTTCTGGAGGCGCGGTGCACTGCTGTGGTGGGCCCGGCTCCAAGCCCATGTGGTGCGCTGGCGGTGACCTCTCTCGAGGGGTGGGCCTTGGCGCCCGCAAAGCTCCCGCCGGCTTTCGCCAACGTGAGCCCACCCTATCGCTCTGCTGCCGCCGGCCGCCCATGGGACCGTGGACCCTGCGCAAGCCTCGTCCGAGGGCGAAGTCGGCGGCGAGCGAGGGGGGGGAATGAGAAGGAGAAGGCCTTCTCGGAAGGCGGCGGGACTTCTCAGAAAACCTCGCGCCTTCTGAGAATTATTCTGCGTCCTCGGGGAAGGCTGAAACAAATTCTCAGAAGGCTGGGGGACTTCCGAGCCTTCTGAGAAAGCCCGCCCCTTCTCACTTCCCCCCCGCGCTTGCCGCCGACGAAGGGTCAACTTCCCCGTTGATTCCCAAGAGGCGGAACCCTCTTCGGGATGCACGCCCTACCTGGCACTTCTCCACCAGGGAGAACGGGGACCACGTTCTGCTCTGCGCGGGCATCCCGCCGAAGCACGCCGTGGTGGGGGTCAGGCGGAAGCCGTTGGCGTACAGCTCCAGGCGGGCGTCCTGGATGGACTCCCCCAGCTCCAGCACCAGTATGCCTCACGAGAAACTGTCGATGATCCTCAGAGCGTGTCTTGGCCCCAGCGTGTGCTTGTCCATCTAGACCCTCCGATGCGACGCAGGCAATGTCATGATCTGCTGCTGGGGCTGAAGGGGGTAAACGCACACATTGGGCTAACACGCGCCCCGAGGATCATCGAGCCTGGCGTGCCCGCGATTCGTGCGCTCGAGGCCCGACGCCCCCGAGCGCGACCACGCGGGACGCCGCTCCGCCACCGGGGCGGCGCAACCGCGCAGGGCGCGCGGCGGCGGAGCGCGCGCGCGCGCCCGCGGAGCCGCGGTCGAGGCCCTCTGGCCACGGAGGCGCCGATGCGAAGGGCAGCACATCATGAAGCCTGGTGAGTGCGACACTGTAAAGGGGCCCTGGGACACACAAATAAATACACACAAATAAGAATATCCCCCATATTTCCCACTATTTTCTGGGTTTCTGTCTTCCCCCCCACTGCCTACATTTTTCCATATGTTCCTGGAAGTCGACGATTAAGTGTGTCTGTGTGTTTCGTTCCCTCCTGACACTGAGCCGCACTGGCCCTGACTATGTCCAGGGCCAAAGCCGATCAAACCGGACTTGCCGGGACCTGGCGGAGAACCGCAGTCAATCCGCGCATAACCTGTGAGGGTGAGCGACTGTCCAGGGCCACCCTTTTGCCTCCTTCCCCTCTGCGGCCAGTCCTTGGCCGCTCTCGCTGGCCGCACCCCGCTTGCGCCTCCCCAGGCCCTGGCATCCTTACCGCGCAGCCTCAGTACGGTCAGACCCAGGACAGACGAGCACCCTTCAAGAACATGAGACCCTCCGACGGCCAAACTGCAGAACCTTCGAGGTGGCCCTCCCCCCCGGATGCAGAAAAACGTCCAACAAACACGAAGAACATTAGGGTTCCCTCCCCGAACCGACCTCGATCTTATACCTCAGACCGACCGCACACGTGTTGACTGTAGGCGGGAGCCTGCGGGACTCGGCCCGTTTCCGACCACGGATCTTCCAGCAGCGATGCTGCACTGCACCTCCCACGAGTTGCACCCCTAAGAGGTGGAGGGGTGTCCTTGGGCTGAGGAGGGCCCGCGGTCCTGGCATTCCTATAGGCCTTTAGCGCGACTTATTCTTCTATATCCAAACAAATGTGAATAGCAGTCCTCATCTAATCGGACATGTGGATTCAACACCGTCTCAGCCAGAACTGTTCTGAGAACTCTCGCACACCGCGAGCAGAATAAGTTCTCACACCATCCCTCGGTGACCTTTTAAGCAGGTCAAGACCCAGACATGCGACGTCCTGATGTTGCACTCCCCAGAAATTCGGACCCCCTCCCCGGGACCAACTTCTCATCGTGAGTCGTGCTCTGACGGTCACTGGGCTCGGTGAGGGCCCCGAAAGATGCCGAACACGACAAACACCTCCCGCCCGGATTCTTCCAGGGCGCCTGACTTCGAGCATCGCGATGCGCAAAGCGCGGATCGCTTCGCGCTCTCGCGCCACCTCGACGAGGAGGAGAGGAGGACAAGGGACGAATCGGAGCCCAAACGCGAAGCGCGAGTCACTCCGCGCCCGCGAGGGAGTCGAGGGCGCCCTTGATCCTTCCGCGACGCGAACATGTCTGGGCGCACTTCGCCACTGCTCGCTTGGTTCGGGGATCTGCTGACCCGTGTCAGGGCAGACCTGGGCCAATCAAGCTTTGCAGGATCCTGCAAAATCCTGCGCGCAAGCCTGGGTCAATGCACCCCTGGCCCTGCAGGATCCTGCAAAATCTGGCGCTCTGGCTGACCCCTGCTTGCGATGACCCCCGCTCGCCATCGCTCGGACGTCCATTCCCCGCGAAGTATTCGGTGTGGTGTGTGCATGTTTCCCCCTCTTTCGGCCGCGTCCTCCGCTTTTTCCCTCCCTCCTGCATGGTGGCGCAATTCGCTTCAACGGTAGCCCCGCTTAGGCCATTCCGCTGGCGCAGACGACCCCTACCTCGCCGCCGACGCAAAACGCGCGCGTGTGTGTGTGTGTGTGTGTGTGTGTGTGTGTGTGTGTGTGTGTGTGTGTGTGTGTGTGTGTGAGTGTGTGTGTGTGTGTGTGTGTGAGTGTGTGTGTGTGTGTGTGTGTGTGTGTGTGTGTGTGTGTGTGTGTGTGTGTGTGTGTGTGTGTGTGTGTTGTGTGTGTGTGTGTGTGTGTGTGTGTGTGTGTGTGTGTGTGTGTGTGTGTGTGTGTGTGTGTGTGTGTGTGTGTGTGTGTGTGTGTGTGTGTGTGTGTGTGTGTGTGTGTGTGTGTGTGTGTGTGTGTGTGTGTGTGTGTGTGTGTGTGTGTGTGTGTGTGTGTGTGTGTGTGGGGGGGGGTTCAGTTTCCGCGAGGTGCTCTAGGCTGCTCCAGGAAGGCCCCCGCCGAGGACGACAAAAAAAAGCAGAAGAACAGGCCCGAGCGAGGTCGGGCCACGCCCCCTGAGCGCCCCCCCGATTGAGGCCGCCCCCGGGGCGCGCCGCCGGCGACCACGGCGGGCCCGCGCAGGCCGCCCTCCTCTCGCTGGGGCGCCCGGCGGGGGTGCGGCAAGCGGGGGCACCCACCCGTCGGAGGAAGTCACAGGGGGCCACTTCCTTCAGCGCCCTCCTCCTGCTTCGTGAGCCTGCCTACTCCCTCCGACCGAGGGGTGCTCCTCCTTCTTTCTTCCACCTCATCGCTCTCCCGCCGGCCCGAGGAAGCTTCGGTCTGCGGCTGCCCCGCGATGGCCTCGTCCTCCAGCTTCCTCCCCCCCCCCTCTCCCCCGACCGATCTTCCTCCTCCTCCTCGCCCTCCCTGCTGCTGCTGCTGGTGCAACTGGATGAGGATCATTCCCTCGCAGGCAGAGATGATGATGATGTACACGACGAGCGCTCTTCTTCCCACCGATGGGTGCCCGAGGGGGGCGGACGGACCCCAGCTACCTTCGAGGAATTCCTCTTTTTTTATGTTTTTGTTTACTTAGGGGGCCACATGCGAACCCTACCCCTACCCCCCACGTTTTCTGAGGGGCGAAGTGAACCCCACCCTGCCCCTCAGAAATCGTGGGGGGTAGGGGTGGGTTCGCATGTGGCCCCCTACGTAAGCAAAAAACATAAAAGAGAGGAATGCCTCGCAGGTAGCTGGGGTCCGTCCGCCCCCCTTGGGCACCCATCGGTCGGAAGAAAAGCGCTCGTCTTGTCCATCATCGTCTCTGCCTGCGAGGGAAGGATTCTCCTGCCTTGCAAAGGAAGAAGGAGCCTCGTGCAGTTGCACCAGCAGCAGCAGGGAGGGCGAGGAGGAGGAGGCAGGTCGGTCGGGGGAGGGGGAGGAGGAAGCTGGAGGACGAGGCTATCGCGGGGCAGCCGCAGGCCGAAGCTTCCTCGGGCCGGCGGGAGAGCGATGAGGTGGAAGAGAGGAGGAGCACCCCTCGGTCGGAGGGAGTAGGCAGATGATGAGAAGGAGAAGGAGAATGAGAAGGAAGGAGGAGGAGCAGGATGAGGAGGAGGAGGAGGACACATGAACTCAGGAGGGCGTTGGAGGCAGATTGGGCTCCGTCCGCCCCCCCTTGGGAGGAAGAAAGGGTGAAACCTCTCGATCATTGCAAAAGGAAGGCGCATTACAAGGCAACTTTTAACACATGGGATTTCAACAATATAGGATTTTTAATACATGACCAACTCATGCATAAATTTATGCATGAACTCATCGTTGTTTTTAGTACTAAATCCTTGCATGTTTAATACATGATCCGCACGTGGAGCATGTATAAAAAACGGCACTGTAAGTAGATCGGAATCTGAATCTGGGGACCAGAAACAACTACTCTCAACGACGGATGGGCACAATGCCCAACCAGAACTGTTGCCCCAAACCGACAGCGGCCGCTGCTGGGCAGGCGGCCTTTTTTGTTTTCAGTGCACCACGCCCGCGGCGGCGCGGACAGCGAGCCCTGATCAAAAGGAAGAGGACCTGCTGTTGGGCATCGCACCTCATGAAGAAAGTCCTGGAGGCCTCGCGCGGCAACTTGAGACCCGATTTACGTCGGATCCACTTCGGATTTGCGTCGAAGTTGCGTCGGACTGACGCCAGAGCATCGCCGCTCAAGCGTCGACTCACAGACGCGCGGACTAGATGATACAACCATTACTCGCCGCGCGAGGCCTCCAAGATTTTCCTCAGGACGTACTCCAGATTTCGTAATAAAAGGGAGGGGGGTCTCATTTCGGAGGGGGGGTCTCCTCCAGGCTATCTTGGAGGGCCTGGGGGGTCTGGGGACGATGTCTTGGAGGGTTCTCCCACATGGGGGAGGTCTGAAATGGCTTGTCCTGGAGGGTCCAGACCCCCTCCCTTGTATTACGAAATCTGGAGTACCCATTCTTTCCGTGCCCACGTCGTTCGTGCAGATCCTCCATCGTCTGGAAGCGCGGCCCCGAGCGCCCGCGCGGCCCGGGCGGCAGAGCACCGCCGAGGCGGAGCTCGGGCACCCCGCAGCCCGGCGCCGCGGCGGGGCGGCCCTTGACGACGTCCTCGTCCTCGCCGCGGCCGGCGGCGCACTCGGGGCCTGTGATGGCAGATAAGCAATATACAATCGACTAGGGCTCCCAACTTCGCGCTTCGCGCTGCGCGAAGCGCGAAGCGCGAATAACTTCGCGCTCTCGCGCCGCCCTCCCAAAGGGAGAATAGGAGGACGAGGAGGAGGGGGAGAAGGAACGAGGACCGCGAAGCGCGAAGCGCGAATAACTTCGCGCCCTCGAGGGAGCCCTTGATCGATGTCTACATGAAGATCGGCCATAACCGGAGACCTGGAGAGGGGCACCAGCACCAGCATAGGGGGGCTGCCTCCACAGAGGAATAGTGATCCCAGATGTCGGTACTATTTCTGGAAGTCCGAATATTACCGCAATCACCGAGATCGAGATCTTCTTCCCCCTGAGAGGTAAGGACGCACGGGCCTTGGACGCCGAAGTTGGCATTTTTGGGGGCGACGGACTGCAAACACGCTCAAGGGCTGGCCAGTAAAACCCGCGAACGACGGGCCGCAGAGGCAAGGACGCAAAGGTACCCTAAGCACTTCCGTACGTCCTCCTATGACTTCTGATTTTAGACAAACGAGCTCTATACACCGACACTTGATGGTGTGAGGGGCAAGGTCAGAGGGTGGACTGGCTCAGGGGGGTAAACATCGACCTGGGATCGGGGATACATCGCCGAGGGATTGGCGACACGCCCAGGATTGCCACATCCGCATGCTCCGTGGAGGTGCGGGGCTATCGGGCTCCTAACGGCGATCAATCGGCGATTGGGGGATCGATGCGTCCCCCCCTGAGCCCATCCCCTCTGACATAGCCCCTGAGCCTGGGCCCAGACATGGTAATTGGCGGCGCGCACAAGGGGGTGGATGGAGGGGGGAGGGCTTCTTAGAAGGAGGCTGCTTCTTAGAAGGCGGCAGCCCTGCATTTATAGATAAGGCCCACGCATTCTAAGAAGCAGGGGTGCTTCTTCTAAGAAGCCCCCCCCCTCCCCCCACCCCCCTCTGCGCGCGGCTGAGCTAAATCCCCGGCCGATCGATCTCACGTAGCGAAATCCCACCGAGCGTCTGCCGATCCGGCGGCTGGACAAAATCACAACGGACTCTTGCTCGAGCCTTCGGGCGGATGGCTCGGAAGAGGCGCGGCCAGCGGGGAGGAAGGCCATGCTCGGGCCGGGCGAAAGGGGGGGATAGCAAACGGGGGAATCAGCTCAAGTAGCTGAGTTTCCCAGCGCCTCCCGGCGCCGGGAGGCGCCCATATATCCAGGAATGGGCCCCTCGGTGGGGCCGAAAGCAGCTGCATGCAGCAGATTTCGTAACCCCTTTCCCAATCCCCTCCTTTCGTCCGGCCCGACAGGCGAAGGGGAAGGCCGCGCAGGGGCTGCGCAGTGATCTGGTGGAACGGGGGCAATATTCGCCGTTTTCGGTACTGGGGGTCCCTCGCTGGCCCTAGGGACCATCAGGAAACGACTCAGGAGTTCAAGCTGGTCCTGGGGAAAGGGTCGGGACTTCTTGGGGCCCCGTATTTGTTGCCGAAGGGAACTCTTAGAGTGTCTCAAGGGCAGATGTGAGAAAAACTGTACATTCGAAGGACGATTACGCCGACAGGGCGTGCCCAATCCTTTTGCCGGTTGCCGTGAGCGCTGTACCGCTGGCAAGGGGGTGACTCCCTCCCGGGGCCCCGTATCGGAAAAATCCGCCGACCCCTTGGGGTCACGGTGTGTGAGATGCTTCCCCCTCCCCAAACCCTCCCCGGGGGCCCGGTCTGGCCAGTTCGAAATGGGGGAGGGGGGGGGCAAAGGTGCCGGCCGCGCACTTGGAGGCCTCAGGAAACCCCAACATGGGTCAGAAAGGCTCAAAAGGCTCCCGGAACGGTCCAAGAGAGCTACGAGTCGACGAAAGATCGCTCCAAAACGCCGAAGATTGCCTCCAGACGGCCCCATCAGTCCCGAAAGACTAAAAAAGGCTCCATGACGGCTTCTAGGCGACCCACGAAGGCTCCAGAAACCATAACAAAGATCCGGGAGAGCCGCAGGGTGGTCCCAACAGGGCTCCAAAACGGGTCAACAGGGTCCCCAACGGCCCCTCAGACGGCCCACGCAGGGGACGATTCAGTCCAAACGGCCCAAGATTGCCTCCAGACGGTCCCATAGGCTCCCAAGACGTTGAAAACGCGTCCACGAGGCGCTCCAAGAGGGCCTCCAGAATCAAAAATCGCCCATTCCCCACGGAAATACATTCTGAGTACGTTCGCCTCTTGGGCTTCCACGAGGCCTACAATGGACCAGAACACCTCCAAGTTCGACCACCGACACCCCAAGAGGCTCTCAAAAAGGCTCCACGACGGCTTCCAGGCGCACCACGACGGCTCAGAAACCACAGCAACGGCACAGGATAGTAGCAGGACGTTCCCATGAGAGCCCCACAACGGGCCAGGAGGATCCCTATCGGCCTTCTGGACGGCCCACGAAGGGAACGATATGGTCCAAACCGCCCCAGCTTGCCTGCAGACGATTCCCAATGGGCCCCCGACACGTTTGAAAAAACTACTACGAGGCGCTCCGCAAGGCGTCGGATATCGGCGGGCTGGTGAGGCCTCCAGTGAGGAAGCCGAATGCCACACCGGGGGCCGAAGCCGAGTCACACCTGTGTGTGTTTTTCGGGCGCCTGCGAGTGGGCAGCTGGCGAGCAGTGGCACGCGCCCGGTGAAGGTTGGTCGGGTCGGGCGAAAGGGGGGGATAACACAGGGGGGGTTGAGAATCAGCTCACGCAGCTGATTCTCCCGGCGCCTCCTGGCGCCGGAGGCTGCCATGCATCGAGGAAGGGGCCCCTCGGTGAGGCCGAAACCAGCCGCATGCAGCAAATTTCATAACCCCCCCTTTCCCAGTCCCCCCCTTTCGTCCGGCCCGAGTTGGCGCCCCCCCCCGGCGGGGCCGCAGCATCGCTGCGGCGCAGGGGCGAGCCCCAGGAGCTCCAGCATCGCCGGGCCCGGCCCGGCCGCCCAGGGCCAGCGCGGCCCTCCATCCGCCGCCGCATGGGGAGCGCTCCCTACTCTCCGCGACAGGCGGCCGCTACTGGCAAGACGCGGCCAAGACGATGATTAATTCGGCTGAGGATGCATTACGTGAGGAGGAGGAGGAGGAGGAGGAGGAGGAGGAGGAGGAGGAGGAAAGGGAGAGGAGGAGGAGGAGGAGGAGGAGGAGGAGGAGGAGGAGGAGGAGGAGGAGGGGGAGGAGGAGGAGGAGGAGGAGGAGGAGGAGGAGGAGGAGGAGGAGGAGGAGGAGCCTTTCCAGAGCGTCCCGGAACGAACGCTCTGAGGGCCGGCCCGCACGCCATGGAACAGCTTTGCCCTCGTCCTGGCGCCGTCCGAGCTGGCCCTGGCCGCCGCTGCCCCCCTGGCAAGGTAACGTCACGATTTATGCTGACTCCTCCTCCTCCTCCTCCTCCTCCTCCTCCTCCTCCTCCTCCCCCCTCGTCCTCCTCCTCCGAGCTGGCTTTGCTCCTGCCAGTCCTAGGCATGCCCAGGCGGCGCCGGCGCTAAAAAGCACGTCGCCGGCCCCCCGACCCCTCCCTCCCCCGGCCTGGGCTCTCTTCTGACCCGGGTCAATCCAAGCCAGGGTCAGTAAAGCCTTGAAGGATTCTGCCAGCTCCTGCAGGATCCTGCACCCCAACCCGTGCCAGTGCGCCCCTCGACCTGCAAGATCCTGCAAGATCCGGCGCTCTGGCTGACCCCTCGTTGGTATTGACCCCCGTCTCTTGAGCTCCGACCCAGTACAGTCGGGGCCTTGGCCTAAGGAACCCCATATAAGGAACGAGGCCCCTCTTTCCCATAAGTTAAACTTCGATGTCCCATCGAAAACATAAGGAAAGCCTGAGGCAAGCTGCGAAACACTTAAGGAACGCGGAGCCCCTCCCCAACGAAAAGGGTTCCTTCTTCAGGGCCCCGACTGTAACATCTCGTGTCGCCTGGGAGTAAGAAGCACTCGCATGGCTCTCGGCCGCGCCGCCCACGGAGCGCATGCAGGCGAGCCGCGCGGCTGTGAGCCCAGAGGGAGGAGGAGGAGAGGAGGAGGAGGTGGAGGAGGTGGAGGGGGAGGAGGAGGGCGAGGAGGAAGAGGAGGAGGAGGAGGGGAGGAGGAGGAGGAGGAGGAGAGGAGGAGGAGGGGAGGAGGAGGAGGAGGAGAAGGGCGAGGAAGGAGGAGGAGGAGGAAGGAGGAGGAGGAGGAGAGGAGGGGGAGGAGGAGGAGGCGGAGGAGGAGAGGAGGAGGAGGAAGAGGAGGAGGAGGAGGAGGGGGAGGAGGAGGAGGACGCTGCAGGGAGAGAGGAGAAGGCAGGAGGCAGGAGGAGGTGGAGGACAAGGCAGGAGGTGGGTGAGGGGCCAGACATCCAGCGCCTCGAAAGGTCGAGGCGGCGGGCCCGTCGCCGTCGTTTCCCTCTGTAGAAGCTGCCTTCGGGCCTCGGGGCCGTCCAAAGACGGCTCGGGCTTGAGCCACGCATCCCGCATCCCCTGGGGAAGTGGCCGAGGAGGTCGGGGGGCACACGCATCGAGAAGCTCGGAGCAGCCGATCTCTGGGGAGGGAAGGCATGGAGAGCACAGAGGCATTCTCGCACTGCGTGTCCTCACTGGAGGCGCGCGTCCGACCCGAGCATGCAGTGCAACCCTCTTGAATTGCATCGTGTCCCGAGCGGCACGGCAAGAAAGCGCCCACCACGACGCACACACTGCAAGATTTCTCCGTGCACGCGTCGCCCCAGTGGGGCGACGCACACATACTAGTACTATGTCAGGCGTGTCCCCCTACAGGGGGATTTCCGACGAAAAATAAAAAATACCCCTAAAATAACCCCTAAAATGTCAAACAATAATAAAAAAATAGTCCCCCGACTATTTTTGGACTGTTGTTTGACTATTTTGGGGTATTTTCTGTTCGTCGAAAATCCACCGGTAGGGGGACAGGCCCGGCTCAGTACCAGTATGTGGGTGCGACGCCGAGGACGGAGGGGAGCTGCGTGAACCAGCAGGGCGGATGCGGGGCGGGCGGGGTGTGCTACATCCACCGCGCGGGAAAAACCGGTGTGCCGGCGCGTCGGGGGGGCAGCGGGCGTGGACAGGTCTGGGCCAGGGCCCCAAACATATACCCGTGCCCGCTGCCTCTCTCGGGGATCTTCTGACCCGGGTCAATATCCGGACCCGGGTCAGCAAGAAAACTAAAAAACCGCAATGCAGGAAAAAACAACTGCAACGCAGGTCTTCGCAAACCCGGGTCAGCCAATAGGCGCGGCCGCCTCGTGGCCACGAGCGGCTCGCTAACCCGGGTCAGCCAGATGGGTGTCTCCGCAGGATCCTGCAGGATCTGGCGCCCTGGCAGACCCCCGTCTGCATTGACCCCCGTCTCTTGGCTCCCGACTCTCGCGGCCCCCGGACACCGGCTCCCCAGGAGGTGGATCAGCGTGTACGCAGGAAGGTCCAGCTCTGGAGGAGTGGGAGGGAGGTGGAGGACACGAACAGCAAGGACAGCGGGAGGAGGTCGGAGCGCGAGGACTCCCCCGGGCGCGGAGCTCAGCACACACACACACACATACACACACACACAACTCGCGCTCAGGCGTCTGGATCCCAGCGGCGGGGCTGGAGCCAGCTGCATGCAGCAGACTCCCTGCGCCCCTCTTCGGGCGTTGGCAGGACTGGGTCTCATGGAACCTGGTTCCATGATGTGCACTGGGGGACGCCCCCCGCCGCCCCGTTCCACTAACCAGAACTGCCGTCACCCGAAAAGGCACCAACTACGGCAGGCCTGGTTCGGTGATTCTGGCCAACTCAAGGGCTCTGGGGCCCTGCCACTAACCGGGTCCCCTAAACTGTGGTCCTGGCTATACCCGACCTTTCCCCAACCCTCCCTCGTTGGGTCCAACCGGCTCGAGCGATGAGAATGAGCTCATGAGACGGGTGAGCTCAGGGCGCGTTCCAGGAATTCTGGAGCACCTGGTCACCCTCGGTCCTGGACTCCGCGCGGGACAGTGAGAGAACTCTGGGAAGGAGTTTTGGAACGCCTCCTCCTCCTCACGACTCCCGGCCCCTGTGCACGACGACCGGCGAGGACGGCGGCCGCAGGGACGACGAGGGCGGCGGCGTCGGCGGACCTGTGAGCGCGAGCCACCGGCGAGCGAGCCCCCCCCCCGCCGCCCTGCGCAGTCCCCCCGCGGCAGGCGAAAGAGCCGCGCGGCCTGGTCCGCAAACTCGCGGACGTTCTCGGGGGGGCGGCGGGGCGGCGGAGGCAGGCGCGCGCGCGCGCTCGGAGCGCCCGAGCTCCTGCGCCTCCCACCTCTCCCCCCGCCCCTGTCGAGGGGGGGGGGCAACCGGCTCCTCGGGCGGGGAGGGGGGGGCACCGGCTTGGAATCGGCGATGCCTCGCCGATGCTCACGCTCATCCCGATCACAAGGAGGCACGGCAGGGATGCCAGGGCCTCGGGGGCCCATGTGAACTTTCTTGGAACGAGGCTGGCAAGCGAAGGTCGCCAAGGCTAGGCCGACGGGGCAAGGATGCAAAAGCACCCCTGGGAAGGTTGCCCATGCTTACTACAGGGCAGTTTTTAAAACATTGGATTTAAAACAATATCGGATGTTTGCTGCATGCTCAAATTGAGAACACATTTATACATGAACACATCGTTGTTGTTTTATACTACATCCGTGCATTTTGTATACATGATCCGCGCGCGGAGCATGTATTAAAAGCGGCACTGTATGCGAGCTGACCGTCATTCGGCGACCTGCACTCGGCAGCGCCAACGAGAGAGTGCTCCTGGGTCGGGCGGGGCGCCCCAGCCCGGATCGGCGATGCACGGGCGGTTGGGGGTCGATGCACCCCCCCCCTGGACAAGCACCCCCCCCCCTGCCAGCGCCCCTGACCTTCCTGTGCCTCCTCCTCCTTCTCGGCCCTGCCCCTCCTGAGCTCCCTCCGCCTCCACTCGCCTCCGCTCCTCATCCCTCTCCCCCTCCCTTCTGCTGCAACTCCTCTCCTCCTCCTCCTCTCCTCCTCCCTCTCCTCCTCCTCCTCCTCCTCCTCCTCCTCCTCCTCCTCCTCCTCCCCCCCCTTCTCCTGCTCATTCTTATCATCCTCACCCTCCTCCTCCCATCCCCTCCTCCCCGTCTGCCGCTGCTTCTCTTCCACTTCCCCTTCTGCGCTCTCCCAGCATCTTACCTCCTCCTCCTCTTCCTCCTCCCCACCTCTGCATCCTCCTCCGATACCGCTACTCCAAGGCCCCCTCCATGAATGCGTTTTGACAAGGATCCCGTGGCGAATCCAGCCGTGGCGACGAGGGCTCTCAAGTTCGGAAGCGGTCAAGATCGACAAGGTATGAGGCGATCCATAACAATGCAAAATGTAATCCAAGACAACGAAACCGAGGAATCGGTGCGAGCGACGAACGAACCCGACCAGGAAGCTGGACTCGCCCAAGGCCATACCTCGAAAACGATTTCAACAAGATATGGGTGGTCGCAAAGAGAAATGGCCACCTCCACCACCAAAGCCTGTCCGACAACTCTCTGGCACCCGCTTGCTGGGAACGAGAGGTGAGAAGGCGTTAGAGGACCCCATTCCCCCATCCCCAGAATCCAAAAAAATGTGCATACAAGGTAACCGGCGCGGCTGTCAAGGCCTCCCCCCCCATTGTCAGATGGCCCACACGAATGCAAACGATGACCTTGTTTGGCTCTGGGATTGCGACAGGACCCCAGGAGGCAGCCAAGGGGCTTCAAGATGGCTCCACCGAGGGTCCCCGAGTGCGACTAGTCGTCCAACGCGTGTTAGGAGTCAGACGTGTCTTGCGTTCCCAATTGTTCGGCTTGAGATAACTCCGAGGATGGCCCGACGGATCCCAGCAAGCCTCCAAGATGGCCCCAAGACAGCTCCAGGACGGCCACAAGGCGCCGCAAGACG